ACACTCAAGTCCCTATTTCACCATTATCACCAATCACTAGTAGGCCCATGTCGGACCTACTGCCTCCCCAATAACACAAGGGGCTGTTAGGAATATTGTCAGTAAACAGGTCAAATTATATATGGGAAACCCCCGTCACCTCAGCCACAGCTGCATGGCAACTTCTGAGCTCGCTGGACAAACAGGAAACACTCTGGAAATATGAGAGAAAATAGACTTCAAGGGGAATTTTTTCCTCTCAATGCAAGTGTTTACCTGTACCTGAAACAAGGCTAAGAGTTTCCTCATATGCACTGTTCCCTGAGCCAGACTATTCAACTTATTGCAGTGATATCCTGCATTATAACATGACAGACCTACGTTCAAGTCTTCTTTCCACACTACACTCTTTTAGGACAGGCATGGGGATGGAACTGAGCAAGAATGTAATCAGCTTCAGATGAGATAAGATGGCGTTAAAAGGGGAAAGTGAATGCATTGTCCGATCCAGTACATAAAATGTTTCATCCCATAATTTGCTAATTACTGTAAAATTAAAGTTTAGTGGCAAGCATAACCAGTGCTAATGAATACTCTACAAACTACAAAACAACATGGAAACACAATATTTTTACCTCTAAGAGGTTTAGACATAACCAGGGATAGAATAAGATTTTCATGCAATCATTAATGGCAGAGACATACATTCTCACCACCCAGAAAATACAAATCTCATTCCTTTAAAACCAAACATAACATAACAGAAACTTCTGTTCCCAAAATGCCTTTATAATGTCACTCGGTTCTACTCCTGAAGTCATCACTTGATGGCTGTTGCTACAACAACCTAACTCTCACTGATACTAATGCCCAGATGTCACACAAATATTTAGAGATGTGCCACCACCTTAAAATTTACCTGCAATTGATTATTTTAAAAAGTGTCCCTTCGTGAAATGTTTCTAATGACAAAAACAAAATTTAAACGTGCAGAAATGCCAACTTTATTAAATGTGAATTAAGGTTCAAAAAGAACATTTTTTAAAAAAGAAACTAAGCATTAAAAACATTTTACCAATTTTTAAACATATATTGTTTTAAAAATTGAGTCTTAGGCATTTTTAATGTAGTTTTTTATTACTTATAATATCCAGCTGTGTATGGAATCTGAAAGTGTAGCTGGACCAGGTAATATAATTGGTGCTGGGATTTCTGCAGTTGGGATTATTTAAGGCCCCACCCCTAAATATCATCTATCCCCTCTGCACCCCCCTAAATATCATCCACCCCCTCTAAGGAGTTGCAACAGAAAGAAAAGCTGGAACTCCTTTTCATGACCTACAAAATCCTGCAGAATCCCCGACACACACACACACACACACACACACACACACACACACAGAGCAGAATTCCACTAATACTTCTTCCAAGAGATTGAATGATGGAAATTTTATGTGAGACTCTGAATTAGTAGTTTACTGAAATTCAGATCTCATATGATCACACACAAAACCCCATCCAACTGTATTATTTTTAAAATTTCAGGATTTTTCAGGATAATGATTTGGGGGGCTCTGACTCATGGTATTTGAAAACTTGGGGTTTGCAATACTGTGAGTTAGACCCAAAGAATCATGACATTTATTAAAAATCACAAGATTTTAAATATATATATATTGATTTTTAAATAAATCTCATGATTATATCTATACATAAACACATAGTGTAGACACTAAATATATATTGTGTGTGTGGGTATGTACACTCTCCCTCTCTCTTATGTGTGTGTGTGTATAGAGAGGGAGAGAGAAAATATATAAAACCCCTGCCTCCCTTCCTCTCTTGGTGTTCAGAAGAGGCCTCCATTTACCCACTCGTAGCTTCTGGGTTGTGGGGGAGTTGTCTTTCTAGCAGTCTACATTATTTATCCCTGTCCTACTTATTTCCCATTTGAAAAGCCCACCCTTCACCATCTTCTTGCTGTGCACTCCCTCCATCACTGGTTTATACTATGAAAATTACTTGTTGCTGACAATGGATACATGTGAACCAGTGCTGAACATGATTTAACTGCACATGCAGCTAAGGGCATATTGTGTCCAGCTCTGCTTCAGGATTTAAACCTGCTAGTATAAACAAAGCTTTGTTTTCCTGCACCCTACGATCACCTTGCATACTCCACCATATCCCTTTCCCTTCTACTCAAGCCACCTCCCTACACTCACCCTGCTCCCCACAATTTTCCCTGCACTGTGAAAATTCCTTCTTTATCTCTGCCCCATCACTCCACTTGCTACATTCGCCTGGTCCATGATACATTCCCTTTACCTGCTCCTTTTACATTTTTTTTGCCCCCTACCATGCTTCCTCCTTGTTAACCCACCCTCACGCGTCTCCAGCTCCTCTGTCCCCCAACTTCAGCTGCATTTCAAGATCCTCCACATTGTGTTTCCCTGTCTACTATATCAATCAAAAGGGTGACTAAACTGCCATTATTTCCCTAAGGCAGGCTGGCTTTAGACCTATTGGAACTAGTGGAATATGCTGAGGAGCAACCTCATGTTCACTTGCTAATGATGTAGGGAAAAGGTGTCCATCTTGGCTCAGGGAATCCATGGAGCACAGTGACCCCTATGAATAACTTCACAAGTTTGAAGCAGGACATCAGAAAATCACAAGAAATCTTCAAAACAAAAATCATGAGGTTTGCACTGATGACAAGGGCTAGCAATTCTGAAGTCCACTATATGTTGGGAAAGTGTCGACATGGCTTCTGTAAGCAGAGAACATGCCTCAGCAATCTGTTTGGATCTCAACAAATGTGGACAAGGGTGATCCAGTCAATATAATGTACTTGGACTTTCAGAAAGCCTTTGACAAGGTCCCTCACCAAAGTCTCTTAAGCAAAGTAAGCAGTCATGGGATAAGAGAGAAAGTCCTCTCCTGGATCAGTAACTGGTTAAACGATAGGAAACAAAGGGTAGGAATAAATGCTCAGTTTTCAGAATGGAGAGAGGTAAATAACAGCACCCTCCAAGGATCTGTACTGGGATAAGTCCTGTTCAATATATTAATAAATGACCTGGAAAAATAGGTAAACAGTTAGATGGCAAAGTTTGCAGATGATACAAAACTACTCAGGATAGTTAAAGCTGACTGCAAAGAGTTACAAAGGGATCTCAATGAACTGGGTGAGTGGGCAAGAAAATTGCAGATGCAATTCAATGCTGATAAATGCAAAGTAATGTACACTGGAAAATATACATTCAAAACAATGGGGTCTATATGAGCTGTTACCACTCAAGAAAGAGATTTTGGAGTCACTGTGGATAGTTCTCTGAAAACATCCACTCAATGTGCAGCAGTAGTCAAAAAAGCTAGCAGAAAAATAGGAACTATTAGGAACGGAATAGATAATAAGACAGAAACTATCATAATATCACTATATAAATCCATGGTATGCCCACATCTTGAATACTGTCTGCAGTTCTAGTCACCTCATCCCCAAAAAGTTATATTAGAGTTGGGAAAAGTATAGAAAAATGACAACAAATATGAATAGGGGTATGGAAAAGCTTTCGTATGAGGAGAGATGAAAAAAAAAAGGACTGTTCATCTTAGAAATTGGTTGCTAAGGAAGAATATATAGAAGTCTATAAAATCATGAGTGGTGTGGGAAAAGTGAATAGGGAACTGTTATTTATCCTTTCACATAACACAAGAACCAGAAGCCAACCCATGTACTTAATAGGCAGCTGGTTTAAAACAAACAAAAGGAAGTACTTCACACAACACACAGTCATCCTGTGAAAATCGTTGCCAAGGGATGTTGTGAAGGCCAAAAGTATAACTGGGCTCAAAAAAGAATTAGATATTTTTCATGAAGGATAGGTCCATCAATGGCTACTAGCCAAGATGGTCAGGGATGCAACCAACCCCAGGCTCTAGGTGTCCCTAAGCCTCTGACTTGCCAAAAACTGGGACTGGACAACAAAGGAGGGAATCACTTGATAATTACCCTGTTCTGTTCATTCCCTCTGAAGCATTTGTCACTGGCCACGGCTGGAAGACAGGATACTGGGCTAGATGGAACCACTGGCCTGACCCACATGATGCTGAGAGGAAGAAATAGGTTCTAATCCGAGCTGTGAAGTGTGTATCACTGTGTGGATAAAAAGAATGGCTAAAAATACTGAAATAAAAACGTATTGGATACTTTACCACATAGTTATGTTGTGAAGATAAAGTCAAAATGCAGCCCTAAAAACTGTGTATCAAAGAAGTACTATTATCCCCACTTTACAGAATTTGAAGGACAGAGAGTATGGGACTTGCCTGGGGGCTGGGGGTGTCACACACCCGTCTGTGGTGGAAAAGGGAATTTAACTTGACTCTCCAGAGTGTCAAGCTAGCATCTAACCACTGGACCATCATTCCTGCCCAGGAATGAAGCTAGTAGTTTTGCCTAGTTAGGAAACAAGTAAAAACTGAGTAAGGACTCCAGTATTTGTCCCTATATTTTTGATCTTCACAATCCCCAAACTCCTTAGGTGTTTCTTTTTCTATTCAGTTATCATTATATACGCAGAGATTGACTATCACATTAAAGGACTATTAGACTCACAGTCCGTGCTTTCTGCCACTTCACCAGTCAGTTTTTGGTCTCTGTGATGAGCTTCTTAAAAGCTTGCTCTATATACCTCTGCACCCAGCCCCATCACTTTATTTTATCTTAAAACAACCAAAACACATTCACTAAAAAAGTCCAGACAGTATTATTAAAAGTCGTAGAACAGTAAAAAAAAAAATACTGTGGATGACGATGTTGTATGTCATGGTGACACAATCTGAATTGTCTCAACTCACAAAGAAAAAGGCAAGTGACATAATATTTACTAGATTCCCAAACATTCTATGCACTGCCTCCCATAAGCTATAAAGAGTGAGCATGTGTTTAAAAACAGGCTAACACAAACCCTTCAATGCATTGTCATAACCACTTAATAAAATCACCCACAGTAGAACATTAAAACAGGCAGCTTTATTGTTGCACAGTGACACGTTCAGGATTCATATTTCTTTAAAAACGAGTTGTGGCAAATGAAATCAGTTTTCTAAAGTTTAACATTGTGCTCCGTGTCTCCACTTGCATCCTATACAGAGGGGTCTGAATCATAATGGCAATGAGGGTAAACAGAGTAACATTCTGTAAACTGAATTGCAAATATTGCAAATTTTAACACAGAGTATTTGAATTGATTTACAAACATATTTCTATTGTACATTTTCACAGTATGTTTCTTATACATTCCAAACTACTAAAAATTGACTTTTTCCCTGCAGTTCTTCACCGCAGGAAACATGTTGTGTATCCATAGACTCCCAAGACAGTCCTAATAATAACATTATTTGTGTATTTATTATTTTAAAAAACTCTGATGATTAATTCCATGAAAAAGCTGCATGAGATAGCTGCAGAAATGGCACTTGCACTTTGTGGCGTTTGAAGGCTCGTCGTTGAGATATATTGTTAATTACCATGAGTACCGTCATGACAACTCTAGCTCTGGTACATGGGTAGGGAGGGCTCATGGACCCTTTTCTTGCAGTGCAACCACATAGGAGTCAGCCATAATTGGGGTGCATGTGCTGGGGAGTGCAAGATGTGCACATGCAAGTAAAGTGTATTTGGGTGGCCCTGTTGATCCTGTACGTTGGTAGGACTGCAATGGCTACAACTTTTGTAGTGGTTTAGCAAGTCCCACTAGTATCATACTTCCAGCCACAGCCACTTCAGCAGTGTGCCTAGTCCCATCCCAGTCATGGCTCTGCCTTTGCAGTCTTAGGCCTACTCTACCCTTAAAAATTAGGTCAACCTAGCTATATTGCTCACGGGTGTGAAAAATTAACACCCTAAGTGCCACAGTTAACCTGACCTAACCCATGGTGTAGGTTGCTGTGGCAGAATTCTTCTGTTGTCCTAGCCGCTGGCACTTGGAGCGATGGATTAACTACAGCGATGGAAAAAATCCTTCCACTGCTGCAGAAACCATCTACACGACAATGCTCCAGCTGCAGAGAGGCAGTGTTGTATCTGTGGTCCTCTGCAACCATAGTGTGGATATGGCCTTAGTTGTGCCCTAATGGCATGAGTCTAATCTTAAAGCAGTGTAAATCCACTAAATTTAGTGGATTTACCCCTGATATATAATCGTATGAATAAGAACAAAATCAGGCAAGGTGTATTTTTGTGCACAATCATGAAAGAATGTCAGAAACAATGACAATCTTGGTTCCATATTGTTTGTTTCTATTTGATCACGTATCACACTCTGCAACCCTAGTGGCTGCTAAACACAACCGAACATAGCTTAAATACATTTCTGCCATACAGCAGGTTTATAAATAAATTACATTTAGCTTGTAAGTGCCTTATAGCAGAAACCTGCCATTTTATTTGCCTGTGAAGTACCATCCAAATCTATGGCACTTTGTTAAAAAAAGTATAATTTAATAAATATATAAATAAAGCATACATGCCCACATTTTCAAACTTGGAAGCCTAAAGTTAAGCACCCAAATCTACATGTAGGTAGCCAAAGCAAATGGCCTGTTTTTTTTTTTCCTAGTGGTACTGAGAATCTACAACACTCAATGAAATCAATTTATCTTATTTCGGATTAAACTAATGTTTCATCAAAAGAAAGAGACAGGTGATGATTACATCAAAGCAATAACAAAATACAGTATATCTATTTTAGCTTCACAATGGTTCAGTTATTTCAAAAGTTGTTTATACCATACAAAGATTTTGTTTCTTACGTACTTCAATACATCATCACATGAAGTAGCATTGGTGAGGAATTCATTGTATGCTATAAACCTTGCTCCCTCTATGGCAAAGATAATATGAACAACCCCTCTTCCCCCACAGGTAACCAAAGCAGAGGCTGAATCTGTTTTAGGCGGATCACACAAATTGGCACACAATTTTATGGACAATGTTCCAAAAAATTGTCGGTCTCATTAGAGAAAGGAGCTTAGTGGTCTACTAAAATAAGTTGATCATAAAGATACAAATTTTCAAGTTTGCATGTTTAAATTTATATTTAGGCTCCAAAATAAGTGCCTTATTTTCAGACATGCTGAGCTCACCACAACTTGTCTTACTTTATTGGAAATTGCAGGTTCACAATGTTTCTGAAAATCAGGACACTTATTTTTAGGTGCTCAGATATTATAGTGATGACTGACCATATACAAATGTAGATAGACAACTAAATCCAGATTTGTTTAGTTCTAACTGCAGACTCCAGAGTTTGAAAATGTTGCCCTTGCTCTTGTGTGATCCAAACTCCTGCTACAGCATTTGAGTATAGAGACGGGATGTCTGGTGAAGGAGATCATGCTGAGGGAACTGGAAAAGACCAGACATTGATTTCAGACACAACTCTAAGCCCTCTGAAGATCATAATGGTGTTCGGCTGCAGAGAATGAAAGTGGTTTCGTTCAAAGTAGAAGATGATTGTTGGTGTTAACTTCTGAGTGGAATCCCTGTCAGGCTTGATTAGGATAGGAGGCTATGTGCATATTCTGCCTCCTCTCCATCTGCAAAACCAATGCCACTGTGAGTTGAACTTCTCCTTCCCCCAAACGCACACTTTCATACTTCCTGTCAGAGATCTACCTAGTTTTAATGTCATCTGTCTGAGAAGATGGAAGGGACAATATTTTTAACATGACAATATCTCTTTTAATGGGAGTCTTTCCAAATATCTACCAGACTCTAGATGTCAAAAGTTGAAAGAAATGGATGGTTATTCTTCCATCCTGTTTTTACAATTACAAGTCTCTCTCTTCTTGTGCAACAGATGACCACCCTGCCTTCATTCCAATCCTCCGGTAAAACATACAAGGGGGGAGTCATAGCTCAGTGTTTTGAGCATTGGCCTGCTAAACCCAAAGTTGTGAGTTCAATCCTTGAGGGGGCCATTTAGAGATCTGGGGCAAAACTTGGGGATTTGGCCCTGCTTTGAGCAGGGGGCTGGACTAGATGACCTCATGAGGTCCCTTCCAATCCTGATATTCTATATATACAAACAACAAATCTCCAGACAACTGAAACATTTTCCTCTTTCTCAACTTCAGGCCTGCATCTTGCATCTAACAGTCTGTGCTGTTTTGTTTTATCTTAGGACCTGATTCTGTGAGGCTCTAAATCTTCAGAAATCAATTATTTCAGTGACTCCAAAGCTCACACAGGATCAGGGCCTTGGACTGCAAGCCCATTGAAGGACTCACAGCCTCCTTTGTGCATCTAGCTCAATAAACAATGTGCTCAATAAACAATGAGCTTTAACGGATGAAAACGGGCATTCCATTTGTCACTATGTGAGGATGACACCCTCTTCCCCTGTTCTTTGTCTCAGGCAAAAGAATGCATCATTTAGACTAAACTCTCAGATCTGAAGGTGTCCATATTTTTCCACACTCAATTCTCACATCCGTGACTTAATCAGGAAGAATATGAGTCTCAGTTTGTACCAACATTATTGGATAGTCACAGTTCCCACACTGTATACCTTCATATAGAGATCAACATCCCTACTCTGCAACTACATGATAGTGCTGTATAAGTCTACACAGACATGCTTTCAAAGCTATGGCACTGCTAAAAATTAAAAAAAAAAACACCCTCATTAAGCTATGGAAATTATTGCAGGTGAACCTCTTATTACCTCTGACGAGCAACACCAGTTTCCGTAGGTCTTGCTTATAGAACAAATTACTCACTCTAATGATTCACAAACGATAATTTCTGTCTCACAGGAGGCCCTCTGAAAGATGATTTTTTATAGGCGTAGCTCATATCACACCAGTCTTAGACAGAAGGTGATTTCATTCTCAGAACTCATGCTCACTGTATCTCTCATCTGAGGACCAAGGTGAATGTTTCCTAACTTAAGTGCCTTTCCTTGACCTGACCAAACCTGAACAAATAAGTTATGGTCCTGATCATGAGAGGTACTGAACATCTGCAATTTCTCTTGTACAATCAAGCCCTTTGTAAGGAGAGCTATGTAGAAGTTGTGCGGGATTGAGATGGGACAGCCCCACAGCCCTTTCACAACCACTATTCCAACCCTTGGTCTAGAATAGAGCGGACACTCCTGTGCAGCCCCACATACGGGTTTGTGAATATTAAATACACATAATTTTGGACTAGATAGCTACATTCTTGTCTTCAGCTGTCCAACACTGGTCTCCCCCAGCATAAGAAAACCATTGTAGTTTTGCAGCTTTGCGGACCTTCAGCCTCTATGCCCCTGAGCGGATCTAACCTTCATGCATTATGCAGAAGTACTATAATGAGGGGATTGGCAATGGGATTTAAAGTTACAGTAATTCGATCTGCTTTTTATTAGAGACTGAGAATAAAGCTGAAGAATAACTATTCTGTTGTATATTTTTGATTTTCTCATATAAATTAGAGTGGAGTGAACAGACATTGTGTGGTTAATTAATTTTTTAAAATCAGGGATAGTTCTGAAGTTATACTTACATATTAAGAATCTATTCTAATCTAGTGCTTGTGTCCACATAGCTCAGAGCTTGTTGTTTTACTTGAATCACTGGGTGTAAAACTTGCCCAGAATTCAGCAGTCCCAATTTTTAAAACAAGCTACCAGACTTCTAGAATGGATTTTGAGCCACTGTCTTTCAACACAGATTTTAAAGATAGCTATGGGATAAATAACTATTTTCCTCCTGATGTGGTCAAAGAGCCAGGTCAAATACCTATCTTACATGCATTTTTATGCATCACCACAAGAACACACAGCGCTAAAAATGCAAATAGTCTACACATTTATGAGCCAACAAACTGGTTGCAAAGTTATTCCCCCAAAATCTGACTGCTACTGTTGAAAATAAAACACTTTTCAGTGAATGAACTTTTGGAAGTAATGAATCTCTATTTTTCTAAAGTACATATTACATTTAATATATATTTTAAATTGCACTATATTATCCCTCATATATTACCTATTATAGTCATCCCATATTGATGTATAATTTACATTTAATGCTGTATTTTACATCTTCAATACATTAAAGAATTAATATTGAATCAAACCTTCATTAAAGTTGGAGGAGATACTCATTTTACTGACACCTGTCCAAATATTACTTTGATTTAATCGCATGCCTGTTTCACGCACAATATGAAAAAGGTTCAAATGTAAGTAGTAAAGACGATGGTTCAAATTTTCAAAGACATGAGTGCATAAGTTCCCTTGCACTTTTGAATACAAACTTAGGTATGCACCTATACAAATGCACACACTTCAGAGATGTGCACACCTACATTGGGAGCATGGAAAAGTGCACACCTATTTAGGTACACCTCTTTGTAAATTTAGGCCTGTATGTTTTAAAATGACCTCTTTTAAAACTTATTACACAGATAGCAGAAAGTGGCATGGCATAACATGAATAACTTAAAGTAGTGTGTTATTGGTCAGTGATATGGGAAGAATTTTGTCAAAAGGTTAACACATAAGTTTTGTGCCATCAAGTTTTGAAAAATGGTTTATGTTTTTAAGAGGACAGTAAGTGGTTTTGGTTATGCCATTCTCAAACCTTTTTTACGTCTATTAAGATAAATAACTAGTTACTGGTATGCTGTAATATTATACTTGCTGTACTTCTAAGAAATAATTCTGTTATAAAATGTGCACAGTGGTATACAGGCTCTGAAATATAACAAGAACATTGGGTTGAACTGTAATTCTCTGTACTTAGACCTTGATGTAGTTTCTGGTTTTCAACATATAGGGCCAAAAACAGGCTGTAGGTGCATTTCGTGGAGACATGGCATACATTAATGGTGTCGAAATAGCTGTAGGCCCTGTTCCCACAATCAGACCTATACTGAAGAAGCTTTGTACCAGCACAGACCATGGCTTAAGTCACTGGAGCTCCATACAGGCATGGGACTGGGTTTCAAGTTCTCAAACTTTGGGCAGATTATGAGTCCTACTTAAAATACCCTATAAATTTTTAGTTAGATATATTTCCTGCTGCTTAATAATAAAAAAATGGACCTGACTATGACCTCCGTGGAGCTACACAGCTCACCCATCTCCATTCGCTCCTCAGAATATTCTTGCTAGAGGCTGAAGTAGTCTCAATAAAATGTGGGATTCTGGGGCAGTGGGTTTACCAGTATGTATAGACTGTGTACTGCAATGCTTCCTTAACAGCTCTGTCCATGGGGGACCTAAGGAGTATGAGTACTGCCGGTTTAAATGGAGCTGAATTCACTGGAAGCAGGGTAGAAGATCTGTGGCCCACAGTTCTCACTTAACTACAGCTTTGCTGGTGTTGGCCAAGGCACATCAAAGCATGCATTTGGTCTAACAGTTCTAATTTTGCCATCAATTCTAATTTTGCTTGTGAGTCACTCCCACTGAAGTAAATGGGAATCATCTGAATGTACCTAAGGGAGGAATTTGGCATATTGAGTGTATGTAAAAATTCTAACTAGCATGTTTATTATAGGAAAGGAGAAGTAAGTTTAATTTACAGTAACTGGAAATGAAAGTGAATCTAACATAGTGAATTAGTGAATCTAATATAGAGCTTTCTTTAGATACATTTGACTTGAATTCATATATAAACACTGAATATCTGATGGAGTTTTAGTTGTTTTCTTTTACACAAAAACAAAGGCAGTCAATATATCTTTCACATATAAGTCATAATAGTTTCCTTGTACCAATTAATGCTAATATGAGCGAGACAACTCACTTAATATCACCTTAAAATGTTTTAATATTTTGACAGGTTTCATATGTAACTATGCATCTGTCTTCTATGTAATTATCAAAGAAAAAAAATCATTATTTTACATATAAATTATGTTAAAGAGATAGGATTCAGCAATTGAATTATAAATGATGAAATGCCATAAAAATTGAAAACCACCAATACAAAAAATGATTGGTGTTGTGTTTCCTAGCTAATTATGTATAAGTTCTTATTTTAATTTTCAGACTTTCTATTCAAATTGAGCCAAAAATATCCCAAATAAAACATATTTAGATAACTACAATCCAACATGATCTTTAGCTATTGGTCTGTGATCAATATTATAGCATGCACCACCGGCAATAGCAATATGACAGACTATACAGTAATTTAACAGAGATCCCAATCCTGTGAGCCCGCATCAATTGATGTTATATAGATAGAAGGCTTGCAGGATTGGACCCTCTCTTGGAAAACTGAGTTTACTATGAGATTGTTTCTCAATCCTGGTTTGCCAAGCAACCTTTCAGATCACTCCTTATCCATCCTTTTATGACGCCTACAAGCAATGAGTTAATAAACAACCAACACACAACCACCACCATAATACCTCACTCCTCAAATTATTCTCTTTTGTGGTGCCCATTGCATCTTGTCTTCTCTGTTTCATGTCCTTTAAAAGCTCTATGGAGCAGGGACTGTCTGTCTCTGTGTTTTGTTTAGCACTGAGCACATTATCCTCAATAAAGGAAATAATTAATAAAAGAGAATAAATAATACAGGAGGAAAGCCCCATAAAGGCAGAAAAGGCAGAGACTCATAGAATCATAGAAGATTAGGTTTGGAAGAGACCTCAGGAGGACGTCTAGTCCAACCCCTGCTCAAAGCAGGACCAACCCCCACTAAATCATGCCAGTGAGGGCTTTGTCAAGTCAGGCCTTAAAAACCTCTAAGCATGGAGATTCCACCACCTCCATAGGTAACGCAATCCAGTGCTTCACCACCCTCCTCGTGAAAAAGTTTTTCCTAATATCCAACCAGACCTCCCCCACTGCAACTTGGGACCTTAACTCCAGTCTCTATTTAGTCATCTAGGGATTGTGCTATTCCATGCAAGGGGACTGTGATAGACAGTAAGGTGATGGATAGCAGAATAAATCCCTAAAATGGAGTGATACAGCAAGTGAGAAATTCTTAGGAAAATGCATTAATTTGGAAGTAAACCTACTATATTTAAATAAATACGAATCAATTGGAAAGAGAGAGAATTGAAAACAACTTTAAAATATTTAATTATTGTTTTCCATAAGCAAGAGGGTGTTTTGTTTTGTTTTTCAAATTAACCAGTTAGTAATTCCATTTTGCACTATGTGATTAAATCTGCAATTTATCTACTTTACTTTACCTTACTTACTACTACTTGCAGAGAAAGGTATTATTCAACATGAATAAAGGAGGCAGGATCTGGCCTTTGAAATATATTGGCACATCTACTATTCCTTCAAAGTTATTACTGTTTGCTTCAACGCAAGTTAACATGAATAGCTTTAAAGCCAGCATATTCCCTAACTGATTATTTTCTTTGGGGGTATATGAACTATAAACCTTAAGGGTAAGATTTACAAAAGCACTCAGTGTTGGCTTAACTCTGTTCCCTTTGAAGTCAAATGCAAAACTTCCATTGACATAACGAGCAGAGTTAAGCCAACACTGAGAACTTTTGAAAAATCCCACCCAAACTCTTCTCCCTTAATAAAATTCATGCAACAACTCTGAAGTCAAAAAGCTGTACTGACATACAGAAACTGAGGGTGGGTCAATTTTGGCCTTTAATCTACATTGTATATGGAACTGTACGAGTATAAATATAATAAAGATAGATCAAGAATAACAGTCTTCCACCTTGTTGTAAGTAAGTAACAGTGGAGAAAGCTTGCAATTTTGGATGAGAGAATAGTTAGCCAAGTAGAGAAAGTACAGAGAGATTACAAAAGAGAAAATAATGGAAAAAAATAAAGAGGGAATGTACAAAAGGGTATAAGAAAAAGCATGGATAAAAATGAGCAAAGCAGAGTTACAATACAAACCTCAACATATCTGGAGTAAATGTATGGTAATTCTTTTCTGAAGGTTAATATCCAGGGGTGCTATTCATATTTCAATTCTATACTGCATATAAAGTACTTTGGGGGAAATTGTGGAGGTTGAATTTAAAAGATCTTTGCAAGATCATTTGTTTGTCTCTACAGGCGCACTTGGAATTTTATTTATTTTTAGCTTCCAAGTTGTATTTTTAAAAATCTCATTATTTTTATTTTAAAAGCACATATTTAGGTGTATAGTATGCAGATTTTAATATGACAAAAATTCTGTTTTAATAATATTCTATCTACTACTAGCAGAAAAAGGAACCTTTTTTAAAAAGAAAAACGTATGCATTATGAAATATTTGAATTTCTTATTTTACTTGGTTGTTCCCTGTCCTACCTTCAAATAGCCATATCATCAGTTAAGTAGATATTACAACAAGCTAATTGATCCACTTACGGGGAACTGAGATATTATTAGAAAATGGAATTAATTCAAAACCTCATTTAAAATCTCAAATTATTCAGGATGCTATTTACTCCTGTACCAAGGGTCAGCAAAGGAGTTATACACCACTTAAATCCTACCTAAACCCTAAGAGTAGGGCTTAATTGTGATTTATGTGATCTACTGGCCCTGAGATGGCCCTGTGCACAGGGTGAGTTTCACTTTAACCTTCTAGTTATCTGTTCCTACAACTAGTAAAACAGAAGGAAACTACTTGCAATTGGTGTACATTTGGTAGTTGAGCTGAAATAGTTTAATTTTATATAAATTTTCATTAAAATAATGGTAGGTTTTACTGTTTATATAGCTATGTCATACTGCAACTTCTCACCACTGTTGGCTGAAAAACGAAATAGCTTGACAAAAGAAAAAAGCTGGAATATATCAACTCTTTTTTGGATGGGGAAAAGAGTGGGAAAACACCAGACCATCACCTTTTCCCATTCTAAGTCCCAGTAAATGGTAGTACAATCACATAAAAAACCCGGGGTTTATTCCTAAATTTAGCTTGTAGGATTCTAGTTTCATACCACCCTTAAAGACTGCTTGGCCTTGCCAGCTACTGAGACTAACTGTAATTCAAGAGCCAAATGTTTGTGTGGAGCTTACACTTAGACATTTGCAACTGCCTTCACACTAGCACAGAGAAGAGCACAAAGATCAAACCAGCATCTATGCCTTGATTGGAAAGTTGGTTCATGCTATCACATACTCAGGAAACAGTGACATCCATGTTGGGTCAGCTCACTCAGTGACAGAGTGACATTATCACTGCAGCTTTTTACCAAAGGGCATGTCTTTCAACCACACGTAACTAAACCTAATGTTATACACTTGGCAACCCAAGTGGTCTCAAAGGTTTCCATTCTGACCAAATGCCAAACACTCTTGTCTGCAGCCAGAATTGCCTTCCAAGCAGCTAAAGGCAAACCAGGTCAGAATCATTCTCAACGGTTATGAACTATGTAACTTCTGTAATCGAACTACACACTTTTTTCCGAATAGATCTGCATTGGTCCAGAGAAAAAGATTGTTCTCTACCAGTAGGCCCATTCCCCACAGCTCCTCTGCCTCCTTGAATGCCATGATCTCTGGGATCCTCACCCTCCATTAGGTTTTAAAATGATTCAACTGAGCAATTAGAAAATACCAAACTCAACACTATTGCTGACTCAAAAGCGTGATATTGCTATATTACTGTAATTGATCAACCTTAATGGGAAGCACACAAGGGTCTAGTATATTTTCTATACAGAATTCATTAGCTCATGATGGTCTAATATTGTCTTATTCTACTAGCATACATTTCTAATCCATCCCTTACTTGCAATGACTTTCAGTAATAAAATGGAAGGCTTTTATGCAGCTAGAATCAGGCCAAGTTGAATGTGTGGTTTTGAAAAAAAGAAAATGTAATGACATTTTTATCCCCCTTGTCTATCTGCAATGAGGTTTCTGTCAAATTAGGTCAAAACATTTTCCATTGCCGAGTCATGTTTCATCTGTTAAATGATGTAATAGAATAGAAGTAGCTGTCTTCCAGGCTTCCAGGGGTTCTACATGCAGAAGATGCATAAAGCATTTAATGTGACCAGAACCCACATGCTTGATTTGAATACAAGATTTAGATAGATTTATGAGACATATCCTTGGACTCATGTTTTTTGCAACAAAGTCCCAATGGGGCTAAAAAGCTTGCTCTTCTTTCTGCATTGAGTTTGTGCTAATTCTTAGGATATGATTTCAGTGCAACCTCTGATTCCCAACTCTGACAGGGAGGGACAGTCCAAAGTTACTGAAACAAGCATTGTGTTGTTGTTGTTGTTGTTTTTTTCCATTTACTTCCCCACAGACTGTAGAGAAGCAGCTTAATCATTTTGAACGAGGAAGAGTGCTGAAATATTCAGACCTTTCAACCTTTCCTCTTTACTTTAATGAGAACTAATTCCATCTCCTTGTCTAACCGCATGTCTAAAAGGGAAAGCCAGGACCCCTTTGAAGATAAGATCTTGACAGAAAAACATCACATTATATCTACTTCTCCTTTTAATAAAACCAAAGTTGAAAAAGTAACTGAATGTGCTGTGATGGTTCCACAATCAAACCCCTCTGTGTTTCATGAAAACTGTTCTCATATCCCTTGTGCTCCTTATGAAGAGCTAGCGCTGGGTGCTTCCAATTCTGCAGCTCTGCAGTACACATTCTCAAGAACAGTACCTGAACTTACTACTGTATGTTTATACATTTGCTCCTACAACAGACTGATTTTTTTCTTGTTCACTGACTGTGAACAGTTTCTAATGACTGGACAGGGCATAAATCCTTAATCTTTCCCATTTTCAAATGTTCTCAACTTTGTGATCAACAGAGTATTCACTATGAAAATCCTTTTTTTCACAGAGTTATCAGTCTTGTTGTCTGATAGAAAAATAAACATTTCACAGTCAGTAAAATCCAAAGCTGTGCAGAAAAAGTCACGGTTGCTTGATGACTACGATGCAGGCACCAGCTCTTCCAATATTTAGGGAAGCCATCTGCATAACAAAAAAGATTAAAATTAACAGAAAGTCTCGCAAGAAATGGCAGAAGTATTGTGGCACATATTATTCAGGAACTGTCAACATTAATAGCAGCTGAACTACCAAAAGTATACAGAACTCACTGATACCGTAGTACTGTAATTTTCTAACTACTTGCTTTTACCATACAATACTTTGTTAAAAGTATAAGCAGGATAGGGATGCAGTATGGTTTTATGATTAGGCACTAGACTGTGACTCAACAGGTTGGGTTTGATTCTTGGCTTTGCCATTTATTTTCTATGTAATTTTGGGCAATTTTTTGTCTGTTTTGTTGTAAATTCTTTGGAGCAGGAATGATCTCTCTTGTTTGTACATTGTACAGAGCCCCAGATCTCATCTGGGAGCTATAGGTCCTACTATAATACAAATAATTAATTTTTTAAAACTAGCATTTTGGGTTTAGGGGATAGCTCCCTTCTTGATTACTTTTGATTAACTGCTTTTCTCTTATTCTTGCATCGTATATAAAATATTTCATGAAATATTTTCCATGGAACGGACTTGCTTTCAATTGTTTTTGAAAGACATTTAACACAGTTGTCAAGGTTCCTCCCCCACTCTGAACTCTAGGGTACAGATGTGGGGACCTGCATGAAAAACCTCCTAAGCTTATCTTTACCAGCTTAGGTCAAAACTTCCCCAAGGTACAAAATATTACACCCGTTATCCTTGGAATGGCCGCTACCACCACCAAACTAATACTGGTTACTGGGGAAGAGCTGTTTGGACGCGTCTTTCCCCCCAAAATACTTCCCCAAAACCTTGCACCCCACTTCCTGGACAAGGTTTGGTAAAAAGCCTCACCAATTTGCCTAGGTGACTACAGACCCAGACCCTTGGATCTTAAGAACAATGAACAATCCTCCCAACACTTGCACCCCCCCTCTCCTGGGAAATGTTGGATAAAAAGCCTCACCAATTTGCATAGGTGACCACAGACCCAAACCCTTGGATCTGAGAACAATGAAAAAGCATTCAGTTTTTACAAGAAGACTTTTAATAAAAAATAGAAGCAAATAGAAATAAAGAAATCCCCCCTGTAAAATCAGGATGGTAGATATCTTACAGGGTAATTAGATTCCAAAACATAGAGAACCCCTCTAGGCAAAACCTTAAGTTACAAAAAAGATACACAGACAGAAATAGTTATTCTATTCAGCACAATGCTTTTCTCAGCCATTTAAAGAAATCATAATCTAACACATACCTAGCTAGATTACTTACTAAAAGTTCTAAGACTCCATTCCTGTTCTGTCCCTGGCAAGAAGCAGCATACAGACAGACACAGACCCCTTTGTTTCTCTCCCTCCTCCCAGCTTTTGAAAGTATCTTGTCTCCTCATTGGTCATTTTGGTCAGGTGCCAGCGAGGTTACCTTTAGCTTCTTAACCCTTTACAGGTGAGAGGAGCTTTCCCCTGGCCAGGAGGGATTTCAAAGGGTTTTACCCTTCCCTTTATATTTATGACACGCCCCCCAAATCTCAGCTAGGGTGGAACACTGGCTGGGATTTCTTCCTGGAGCTCTAGGAAAAACAGAGTTAATAAGACACATGCATCTCTAAATATACTACCAAGTACATAAAGACTAACAATATTTTCCACATCTCAAGGACGATTTTAACCAGTTGATTCTGGGAAACTTTCACGGGAGAGTGCATCAGCCACTTTGTTAGAAGCTCCTGAGATGTGTTGGATGTCGAAATCAAAATCTTGGAGAGCTAAACTCCACCGAAGAAGTTTTTTGTTAGTTTCTTTGACGGTGTGAAGCCACTTCAGTGCAACATGGTCGGTTTGCAGGTGGAAACGCCGTCCCCAAACATATGGGCGTAGCTTTTCCAGAGCGTAGACAATGGCGTAACATTCTTTTTCAGTGACTGACCAGTTGCTTTCCCTCTCAGACAGTTTTTTGCTGAGAAACACTACAGGGTGGAATTCTTGATCAGGGCCTTTCTGCATTAAAACTGCTCCCACACCACGCTCAGATGCATCTGTGGTTACTAGGAACGGTTTGTCAAAGTCTGGGGCCCTTAGTACAGGGTCAGACATGAGTGTCGCTTTAAGCTTGTTAAAGGCCTTCTGACACTTTCCGGTCCACTGAACAGCATTTGGCTGTTTCTTTTTGGTTAGGTCTGTCAGTGGGGCAGCGATTTGGCTGTAGTGCGGTACAAATCGTCTGTAATAACCAGCCAAGCCTAAGAAGGATTGAACCTGTTTCTTTGACTTTGGGACAGGCCACTTTTGGATAGCATCCACTTTGGCCTGTAGGGGGCTGATAGTTCCTTGACCCACCTGGTGTCCAAGGTAAGTCACTCTGTTTAGGCCTATTTGACACTTCTTAGCCTTAACAGTTAGTCCTGCCTCCCTTATGCGCTCAAGGACTTTTTGTAGATGTTCCAGGTGGTCTGCCCAGGAATCCGAAAATATGGCCACATCGTCAAGGTAGGCGACTGCATATTCTCCTAATCCTGCTAGGAGACCATCTACAAGTCTTTGGAAAGTGGCGGGTGCATTTCGCAGCCCGAAAGGGAGTACATTAAATTCATACAGCCCGAGATGTGTGATGAAGGCTGACCTTTCCTTGGCAGATTCATCTAGCGGTACCTGCCAGTACCCCTTGGTTAAGTCCAAGGTAGAGATGAACTGGGCCCGTTCCAGTTTCTCTAATAGTTCATCTGTGCGTGGCATTGGATAGTTGTCTGGGCGAGTTACAGCATTTAGCTTACGGTAGTCCACGCAAAAACGTATTTCCCCATCTGGTTTGGGAACCAGAACCACTGGAGATGCCCATGCACTTTCAGAGGGGCGGATTACACCCATCTGTAACATATCCTGGATCTCCCGTTCTATAGCAGTTTTAGCTTGAGGAGACACCCGGTAAGGTTGGACCCTAATTGGGTGAGCATTACCTGTGTCAATGGAGTGGTATGCCCGTTCAGTCAGTCCTGGGGTGGCTGAGAACATTGGCGCGTAGCTAGTGCACAGCTCCTGGATCTGCTGTCGCTGCATACGCCCAAGGGTCATGGAGAGGTTTACCTCTTCCACCCCACCAGCACATTTCCCTTCGTAGTAGACACCTTCAGGCCACTCAGCGTCGTCTCCTCCCTGGGCTGTAAACTGACAAACCTTTAATTCTCTGGAATAAAAGGGCTTTAGAGAATTAATATGGTACACCTTAGGCTTCCGGTTGGAGGTGGGGAATGCTATGAGATAATTAACAGCTCCCAGGCGCTCCTGGACCATGAATGGCCCTTCCCACGATGCTTCCATTTTATGGGCCTGGAGCGCCTTTAAGACCATGACCTGGTCTCCTACTTTGAAGGAACGCTCTCTGGCATGTTTATCATACCAGGCTTTTTGCTCTTTTTGAGCATCCTGTAAGTTTTCTCTAGCAAGGGCTAAAGAGGTTCGGAGGGTGTTTTGTAGGTTGGTTACGAAGTCCAGAATGTTAGTTCCTGGAGACGGTGTAAATCCCTCCCATTGCTGCTTCACCAACTGCAATGGCCCCTTAACCTCACGGCCATATACAAGTTCAAATGGGGAAAACCCTAAACTGGGATGTGGTACAGCTCTGTAGGCAAAGAGCAACTGCTGCAACACTAGGTCCCAATCATTGGAGTGCTCATTTACGAATTTACGTATCATGGCCCCCAAAGTTCCATTAAACTTCTCCACCATGCCATTTGTTTGATGATGGTAAGGAGTGGCAACCAAGTGATTTACCCCATGAGCTTCCCAAAGGTTTTTCATAGTTCCTGCCAGGAAATTAGTCCCTGCATCGGTGAGGATGTCGGAGGGCCAACCTACCCTGGCAAAAATGTCTGCTAGTGCCTGGCACACACTTTTAGCCCTGGTGTTGCTTAGAGCTACTGCTTCCGGCCATCGGGTGGCAAAATCCATGAAAGTCAGTATGTACTGCTTTTCTCTGTGTGTCTTTTTCGGAAAAGGACCCAGAATATCCACAGCTACTCGCTGAAATGGAACTTCAATGATGGGGAGTGGCTGGAGAGGGGCTTTGACCTGGTCTTGGGGTTTTCCAACTCTTTGGCACACCTCACAAGACTGGACATAGGTAGAAACATCCTTGCCCATTCCCTCCCAGTGGAATGACCCCCCCCAAACGGTCTTTGGTCCTGTTCACCCCAGCATGGCCACTAGGGTGATCATGGGCTAAGCTCAAGAGCTTGGCCCGGTATTTAGTTGGAACTACCAACTGTCTCTGAGGATGCCAGTCTTCCTGGTGTCCACCAGAAAGAGTTTCCTTGTATAAAAGTCCTCTTTCTATAACAAACCTGGATCGATTAGAAGAGCTGAGAGGCGGTGGGTTGCTCCGTGCCGCCGTCCAAGCTCTCTGGAGGCTTTCATCTGCTTCCTGTTCGGTCTGGAACTGTTCCCTTGATGCTGGAGACATCAGTCCCTCATGGGATTGTGGACCTAGGCTTGGTCCCTCTGGAAGCGATATAGGGGATGGAGCTGTTTCTGTTGACTGTGAACCGCTCTCCGCTGGTGCACTATGTTGGGATTCAGGCTCCGGCTGAGCCTCTCGTGTAGGGTTATCGGCTGCTGCCAGTTCAGGTTCGGTGGGGCCCTCTGGTGTTGAGGTTGCAAGTACTGGATTCAGTGCTGACACGGGGTCTGGTGTTGGTTGTTCGGCTGGTTCCGGTTCTAGGACTGGTTCCGTCTGGGTCTCTGGGACTGGATCCACTACTGCTGTTGCAGACATTGGCCTGGGGTCCGGGTCCATCACCTCTGACTGGGTCCTGATAGAAGTTTCCGGAACAGAGCTAGGCCTCACGGCTTGTTTAGCCTGGCTGCGGGTGACCATTCCCACCCTCTTGGCCTGCTTCACATGATTGGCCAAGTCTTCCCCCAACAGCATGGGGATGGGATAAGCATCATAGACTGCAAAAGTCCACATTCCTGACCAGCCCTTGTACTGGACAGGCAACTTGGCTG